GCCCGACTGGAGGGGGTCCAGATAATCTGTTTCCTCCAGGTGCCGAGGGAATTGCTGTGCAACCACACTCTCAACAACCTTCGCCACAAAGCGAAGGTTGGAGACTGGGCGATAGTTGGCCAATACATCTGGATCCAGGGAAGGCTTCTTCAGGAGGGGCCTCACCACCGCCTCCTTTAAGGTCGCGGGGAAGACACCCCGCGACCTTAAAAAAACTCTTTCATACATCCATGCAATGTTACAATGCACATACAAAGGAATTTTCATGGCAACACTGTTAGATTGCTTTCACCATTGCTTGTAATTCTCTCCCTCACGCACAAACACATTTTTGAGACAGGTGAAATATTTTCAAATATTTTCAAATTCTGGACTCCAGCTCTTGCTGGTTTTTTTTCTAAATAAATTTATGCTTCACATTGTTATATGCCACTTCTCACTTATAATGCTAAAACATTAGTTGAATTGCTTTCAAATGCTAGATTTGAAGGGAATCGTAATCATAATTTAAAGGAAATCATAATCCCTGGAGTGACAAATGGAATGGCAAAAAACACTGGGCAGCCTGGAAGATAAGATAGTGACTGGCAATTCAGGTATAAGCCAATTTTTGTTAGCAGGCCGTCAGCCCTGTAGCTTGGGTTGCTTAATGCCAGATTGATCCATATTATGATTTCAATAATATAACCATGAAATACAGTCCATAAGTTAACCTTTCTTTCCAAAGGGATGCAAACTGTTAATGTTTTCAGTTTGAAAGGTCCTTGGTGCTCTCTGAGCTTGGTTGTTTTTAGGCAGACATTTCACTACTCAAACTACGTAACATCATCAGTGCTAGTTGTCTGCACAAAAACAAGCACCAAAGACTTCTCATTTCAGTCCTGAGCTACAAATATTCTTCTTTGTTGGTCCCTTCTGTTTTACCCGAATGCTGGTACCCGGTCACTGCAAGTATGAGCTTGGATTGTAAAAGAAGCATTCCATCTTTGACTTCAGATTCAGGGCTATTATCTAGTGCTGGAGACACCTTGTATGGAATATTTTCCTGCTCTATTGCTGTGCCATTTCTCAGTCCAAGTTACAAGAAAAAGTCCCATATTTGGCATTGCGCATCTCCAGGCTTCTTTTAAATATTGATAATGTCCATTTTGAGAGGGGGGAAGCAGGTAGCACCTTCTTTCAAATATTGATAATGTATATTTATTATGACTGCCGGGACTGAGAAGAGCCTTCTCTGCCAGAGTATCCTTCCTTTGGAATCCCAAAGGTGCTTTTTCAAAAGGCAAGTGACCTTTTGAAAAAGCACCTTTGGGACAACCAAGACCTGGATGACTGAAAATCTCCATAGGCATCCTGCCCTCCAGTGTAAGATCTATCTATCTATCTATCTATCTATCTATCTATCTATCTATCTATCTATCTATCTATCTATCTATCTATCTATCTATCTATCATCTATCTATCTATCTACCTACCTACCTACCTACCTACCTACCTACCTACCTACCCTTAAGAGCCTAGAGCAGTGATGGCGAACCTTTTAGAGACCGAGTGCTCAAACTGCAACCCAAAACCCACTTATGTATCCTCGGGTGCCGGGTGGGCGTGGCCCATTGGGTGGGCGTGGCTGCAGTGGTAATGGCAGACTGGGTGGGACTAAAAAGTTCAATCAATTCCAACTTTGCAAGATCTTTTTTTTCCCGCGAGAAGTTGAAATTGATTGATTGATTGAACCTTTTTTTTTTTTTGCACACAGCAGAAGAAGCCTAAAGCGAAAAGGTTTCATAAAACCCAGCTGAAGGCCTAGGACTGGGGCGACAGCACGCGTGCCCACAGAGAGGGCTCTGCATGCCACCTGTGGCACGCGTGCCATAGGTTCGCCACCACAGGCCTAGCGACTTGGCTCTGCAAGTTGGCGTGGAGACCCAGTGGAGAAATTCAACTCTGGAGGTGGCTGTAAGATTGATAACAAGCTCCCCCACCCGATTCTCTGCTCCCCACTTGTCCATCTTTTTTTGCTGATCCTATTGACCTCTTTTGTTTTCTTTCTGCTTGGTTATTTTTATTGTTCTATTTTACTTTCACCTCGTTTAAACTTCCTATTTCTTCTTTTTTTATGATTATGAGCCACCTAGAGCAGCCCCATGACCCTAAAGGCAGGAAATTTAATAATCATAATAATATTGTGTGGGGAGGGGAGAGCAAGAATATTTATTATCCCTTCTTTTAAATATTGATAACAGATATAGTTTTTTGGGGGAAAGAAGGCATATATTATGGCTTCTTTTAAATATTGATGAGGTATATTGGGAAGGAGCAGATATACATCATACCCTTTAAATATTGAGGTAAATTTTGAGGGGAAGGCAGCTACACACACCTTAACTATTGATATGGTATGTTTT